AATCACCGAGAATAGCCCTTCTCTCACAAGCCAAATCATCACATGATCCACCATCATCGAAGATCTTATCAATATCAACCAATCTAGATAAGAGACGGTTACTAGAAACTCTAGATTCCTCCTTATAACCTGCAGCCCATTTTTTTATCCGGTCTTTCAAGAATTTAAGTTTATTTTTGAACACAACAAACTTACTCCAAGACCTGTCAACCACGAACTCCTTGATAGCATCTTTCACCATATCATTAAATCCATCAAGCTCTAACCAAGAGTTGAAGAATTTAAAAGATGTAGGACCATAATCCACCAAAGACACATGCAAGAAAATAGGGCAATGATCAGATCACCTTCTATCAAGAACCGAAACTTAAATATTTTCAAATCTATCATAAAAAGCTTCATCCACTAGAAACCTATCCAGCTTACTTAACTTGGAACCAATAGCATCAATTCTAGTAAACCGTTTCCCAATCATAGGCACGTCAATGAGACCCATATCATCAATAAAATCATTAAAATCAGAAGCCGGACTAGAACAAAAAACCGACCCCATTCAGACACCTCCCTCACAACATTAAAGTCTCCAAAAAACACGTAATTCCCCCCATTCCTCCTTTTAAAATCCATAAGATATTGCCACATGTCAAATTTCTCCCGGATACCTTGAGGAGCATAAATATTAACCATGTAACAAGGAAAACTAAAAGGAACCCAAACTCCTCCAATAATAACCACATTATCCGTACAATGAACACTGCCTTTCACAAACACATTAGGGTCCCAAACAGAAAGAATACCCCCTGAAAGATCCCGAGCACAACTACACGCAAAATCAAAACAAGGATTACCCCACATACTCCTAACTTTGAACAAGTCAATTTTTGTCATTCTAGTCTCCTGCAACCCTAGAAATGACACCCCATTCTAGATACACAACGAATGAACCCAACTTCTTTTAAGAGAAGTTCGAGTACCACAAATATTCAAAGATAGACAATTCATCTATCCACTTGTACCACACCAATGCTAGACAAGATTTTAGAAACCTTATCCTTATGAGATTTCATATCATACCCAAGAAGATCACCCATTTCAAAATATTGTTTCAAGACATCCTCAATATCTTCTACACCCATCGGTACTTTTTTCTTTAACAACTTAAAAGAACCATGTAAACCAGAGGATCTCGACGCCGAGGCATTAAGATTAAAATTCCCGTGTAACTTCTCACGCTGGAACCCTAGAGATTGAGATAAAGATTTCGAAGCCCCACCCCCCACTACTCCACCTTGACGGATTTCCTCATCAGCCGGCGAAGAATCCCTCTCGGGCCTAGTCGGCGACTTCACCGATGCATCAACCGGGATCGATTTGACCCGCTCATCATCTTCAAAGCATTTATCCACCTTCTTCTTCCTTCCACTAACTTCATATGTGTTTATTTAGAATAAAACCAATGATCTTTTGTGTTGGGATATGGTGAATCCATGAATTTCATCAACATCTTTGATTTTCATTACCTTATTTATTTCCATACCAACCTTTCAAAGAACTATCACAAACTAATCAAAAGAACAATTTAAGGAATCACATTTATATATTGCATGTTTAACATAAACCATACCTTGCTTTTCATCAATTACCCTATAAAGAAGTATGGATCTGTAGAAAAAAAAAAAGACAAATAAATTATGTATAAAACATAAAACTCATCCATTTCTAGAAGAAATCAACATTACACCTGAAATCAATAATTATAAGTAGTTAAAACATTTAGTCTTCGAAAGGAGGATATATGACTTGGTGTGAGTCTCGGATGTGTAGAAGGAAGGGTTAGTTTGGCAGACTGACTTGTGTAATGGAGATAACAATTTTATCTGATCCAGATTCATGAAAAGAATTAAATGTGTTTGTGTTTGTGAACGAAAATCACAAAGAGAAAGAGGGAGGTGGTGTGATTGGTGGTTGATGGAGGCGATGACATTTAGGGGGAACCATATAGAGACGAAAAAAGAAGACGGAGGGTGAATAATGGTGGTTCTGTTCATGGTTTTTAAGAGATACATAGAGGGGAAGAGATGCATTGGTAGTGATGATGGTGTGGTGGTTTAGATATGAAGATTGTTGGTGGTATAATGGTGTTGGTGCAGCGGTCTTTGATGATGGTTGATGCTACCGATGGTGATGTCTCCTGACAATAGTAGAGGCGACGATGGTGATGCAGGTGGCTAGAGATGTGGGTTTCGAACGATTAAGGGTTTCTGTGAAAGGAGAGAAAGGGAATCGTATGCAGGTGGCTAGAGATGTCACAGCGCAGTATATTTATTGCATCTGGAGGGCGGTGGTTTGTGAGAAGGAGGAGACAACCACTTAGCAGGAAAGAAGATCTCTATGGTAGTATGACGGAGGAAATGGTGGAGGTGGTGGTCGTGTGTTGTTGCGACTGGAAGCTACAGACAGATTTTTGTTTAAATGGAGAGGTAATTTGTAGTTTTACTGCCGCTGAAAGACCCAATATAGGGAAAAACCAGTCAAAATCCACAAAATTTTGTAGATATATTAGGAATTAGTTCACTCAATGAAGAAATTAAACGGCGATATATAAGGGAAGCCAGGTTAAATATCCCTATAGTTTAGAATTCACACGTAAATTGTATTCCGAAAATAAAATGTTTAAAAATTTAATAATATTATATTCATGGTTTGTTGTATTTTAAGCTTAAAGACTTGAACGTCTTGAAAAAATAATATTATTTTATTGAAGCTATTTCAAAAATAATGAGATTTCCTTTTTATATATATATATATATATATATATATATATATATATATATATATATATATTCCAATTGTCTAAAAATGTCGCCACTCATGCCTTTTTTCCCTAAAATATTTTCTAAAATGTCTATCTTTATGAGGACCATGGTATAACCTTTAATGATTTGTGAATAAGTTTATAGTACTGTAGTACATAGCATCCCTTATCAATAATTGTCCCACACCCCCACATTCCACTCCATTACATGCATATCCATAATATATATAAAGAATTAAAAGAGACTGTGACATTCTGCATCATGCTTTCACTTATCTAACACTACTAAACTAAATAATTATTACAACTGATAGAAAAAAAAATATTCTTGATATTTTATTTTGAATAATTAAAATTCGTTCTTTGTTTTAATATTGGTTACTACAATTTTTGTTACTCAAAATTGTTATTATTGGTTCTTTGTTTTAATATTGGTTACTACAATTTTTGTTAGTCAAAATTGTTATTATTCACTATTCTATTGTTTATATACCAATACAGGACTTGGCTTACTTAGCAAAGAGTTTTAGAAAAATAATGAGTTTTTAAATCTTTGGTTGTTTGAACTTTGGAGGTTTGAGTTCCAAGTTTAAGGTCCCATTTTTGATTATTTGGTAGTGGATCTTTTTGTGGAAATATGTTTATTGCTGATGGTCGTTACGTAGTGGATAGTAGTATTTGATGGTGATGACAATGGTGAGGGGTAATTTTGGATGGTGGCTGCATGGTGATGATAAGTAGTGGCGGTGGTGGCCCGCACACAGGGTATTGTTCGCCCTCCATTCCTTATAAAACGAAATGAGTTAAAACAATAAATAAATTGTAAATTGTGTTTACATTTTTTTTAAATTATTACGGGTGTTTTCAGATTTTGTTTATGCGTTTAATTAATTATTCGGTGTGAGGGTCGTAGTTATAAATAATTTATAGACAAAATTAAGGATGTCAAAAAGTCTAGTGGGGATACGTTCCGTTTGGGGTTATTTATTAAAAAAATCAGGAGCGGGGACGGAAGCGGGGGCAAGGTTAACCCCCGTTTTAATTTCGGGGGCGGGGGCGGGGGTGAGCAATCCCGTCCCGAAACCCCCATGGGGACCCCGTTAATAAATTATATATATATTAATTATGTAAATATAATAAACAATAACATGATTTGAGCTTTCAAAATTCAACAAAAAACAAGTTTTAAAGTTGTAAGTATAATGTTTTTAAGATGTCACAACTTTTTTGTTTTTAACATCTAAAAATCCTGCTATAAATAATTATTTGTTACCTAAAAATAGTTTCTTTTAGTTCAAACAACAACTTTTTTAAGCAAAAAAAAAAAAAAAAAAAAAAAAAAAACAGCTCAAAATCAATCGGGGGTGGGAGAACGGGGGCAGGGGTAATAAGGGGGATTCGGGGGCGGGGGTGGGGGTAGGAAGACTGGACATTTCAGGGGCGGGGGTGAGGACGTGGGAACGAGGAGATTTCAGGGGCGGGGGCCGGGGATGCACACCCCGTCCCGTTTGCCCCCGTTGACATCACTAGACAAAACTGCAAAAATTGTCCATGTGGTATGTATTTTTTCCGAGGTTTAGTCCAAACCTCGACTTTGTTTTGGCTTCGTGGTCCCTTTGAGCAAGTTTTGTTGCGAATTTGGTCCATCGATAAACTGAAATGACTATAATACCCTTGGGTATATATTTTCTATTTTTCTTTTATTTTTTTAATATAATACTTATTTATTTATTTATTTATTTAAACAATTAAAAAATAAGAGGGTATCTCTCTCTTTCTCTCTCTCTCTCTCTCTCCAAAACCCATGAACACAACGCTTCATTTGTTCTTCACTGATGATGAACATTATGTACACCAAGTGTTCAGAGACTACCTTCCACTTCCTACTTCCCACCACCACCAACACCATCGTCCGCCTCCTACCACCTTCATAAACAAAAGATTTTTCTGCAAACTAAAGCTTTCCAAAACACTCAAACTAGAACAAAATTACTTAAGAACAGAATATTTCTATAAACTTGATTTCTTTAGATTTCAAGAACAAGAATATATTTTTCAGATTTGCAAAATCAAAAATCGTAGAATCAAGAACAAAATTTTCCAAATCAGTAAACAAAACTCTGAAAACTCAGTTTTCTAGATTTGTTAACCTCCAGAAAACGAGAATGAAAAACAAATCGATTATATGAAACGTCACCGCCGCCCTACCATCTTCGTCACCCTTCATATTCCCTCTCTTCCACTTCGGTTTTCATCAAACACAACCCTTTATCTTCTCCCTTTTCCATTTCCAAATCCTCAAACCCTCAACTCTGAAGATCTCATTTGCAGATATGAAAATCCTAACCTTGTCCTTCGTAGCCGCCACCCTTCATCGCAGATCTGGAACGTCGTTATCGCCGGAAGTGGAACCTCTAGATCTCCGTTAGCTGGCGAGGAGGTGGCGTTTCGACGCAGATCTGGAACATCATTATTTGTCTCTCACACACCAACGAATGAAGATCACTAGAGCACAAGGTCTGTGAAAAAGAAATCATTTCGTCGTGAACGAGATCTGTTGGAAGTGGCAGAGTTCAAATTAGCAATAACAAGGTCCATCTGTTCGCTGGAGTTCAGAACTGTAAAGACTCGTTGGAGTTCAGATCGAAGGTTTTGACTTTGCTAAACAATTCAAGTGAATCGAAGGTAGAGGTGGTGGTGGCCGACTTCATTTTTTTCACTCCTTCAGATTCAACGAAACCCTCTCCGCCGGAAGATACAGTTGTCGGAAGCTTCGCTGGTGACCGTATTTTCTTGTTCTGAACAAGGATGAGTTTTTTTTAGAGAGAGAGAGAGAGGTGGGCCATCTTATTTTTTTTATTGTTTAAATAAATAAGTAATATATTTTTAAAAAATGAAATAAAAACAGAAAATAAATGCCCAAGAGTATTAAAGTCATTTCAGTTTACTAAGCGCTCAAATCCGCAACGAAACTAGTTCAAAAAGACCACGACGCCAAAAAATTGAAGTTTGGACTAAATTTCGGAAAAAATACATAGCACATGGACCATATTTATAGTTTTGTTATATATATATATATATATTATATATATATATATATATATATATATATATATATATATATACTGTAGGAGTTATTGTTTACTCTCTAGTGATTACTAGTCATTTTATTCGTGCAAGACTTAATGGATAAAAAGAAATTAAACAAACCTTAAGTTAACTGATATTCTATTATTTTTATATAAATACAATAAATCACAAAGTCACTGAAATCATCGTAGTGTCATTTAATTAAGGATAGATATTTAATGGGGTTAACATAGGTGATGGATTTTAAGAATCTCATAACATATATATTATAGCAAAGGTGATGGATACAAGACTTTAGAATTGCATAACTCGCATGACTCTTTTATTGAAGAAACTGCTCAAAAACTTCAATCTATACAAAAAAATACAAGAACCTAACATCTATATATACTAAACAATTAGGATTCCTATCAAACTAGACTTTCCTTATAACTCAAGGAGTTCTAGAATAACTTGGACAACACACCAAAACTTGGACAACATTCCAAGTAAATAGATAATCTGGACAGAACACGCATATATGCCACATCTGTTTCATAAATTCGTCAACAATCACCCCATGGATTTATGAGTCGAGGGTAATTCTTGCACGCCAAGCAACACTCTCATCTCTGTGAACCTTATTCGAGCTAAGGCCTTCGTAATTGGATCTGCTTGTTGCTTATCTCCCGAAACATGTTCAGCAATCACTTGCTCGTTTTCCACATGCTCTTGAATGAATTGGAATCGAGGGTGAATGTGTTTTCTTCTTCCATGAAAGACAAGATTCTTTGACAGTGCAATTGCTGATTTGTTGTCTATGTAAATCATCACCTTCTGTTTCTTCATTCCTTTTAGCTCAACCATTAACTCCCTTAACCACACTGCCTGACACGCAGCTGTAGTAGCTTCCATGAGCTCATCCTCACACGAGGACAAAGCTCATGTATCTTGCTTCTGAGAGCACCAAGTGATAGGTGAGTCACCGAGGTAGAATACATGCACTGTTGTACTTCTGCTATCATCAACATCCACATTGTGACTGCTATCACTATAACCTAGCAAGCTCAAATCTTTAATTTGTTTATATACTATCCCAAAAGATGGAGTACCACGCAAGTAATGCAAAATTTGCTTAATAGCGTGTGCATGAGATTCTCTTGGACTTTGCATATAACAACTAACTACTCCAACCGAATATGCTAAATCTGGACGAGTGTGTAAGAGATATCGTAAACAACCCACTAATTTTCGATAATGGGTAGCTTCAACTTCAGGTTCATCTTCAGCTATTGACAACTTTAGTCCTGGCTCCATTGGACATTGAGTTGCATTACACTCTTGCATGCTTGCCTCTTTTTGAATCTTTATAGCATAATTCTCTTGCTTTACCTTTACACAACTGTTTTCTTACAATACTTAAATACTCAAGTAGCAACTTAGTTCACCAAGGTCCGACTTTTCAAATTATAACGCCATCAATTTCTTGAATTGATTTATAAACTCTAAACTTGTTCCCGTCATGAACAAATCATCTACATAGACCACAACTATTATTTACTCTCCATTTGAAACCTTTCTATAAACCGCATTTTCTTGCATGCATCGTTGAAAACCCATATTTTTCAACATGTTATTAAGCTTCAAATTTCATGCATGTAGAGATTGTCGAAGACCGTATAATGCTTTTGCCAATTTGTAGATTTTTGTTTCTTCACCTTGCTTCACAAAACCTTCCGGTTGGGACACATACATTTCTTCTTTTAAATCTCCATATAAAAATGCAATTTTTACGTCTAAGTGATGAATCTTCCATCCGTTCTCGGCCGCGAGAGCAATCAATAGTCTTATTGTCTCGAGTCGAGCTACCGACACGAATACTTCATCAAAATCAATGCCTTGCCCTTGCACATAGCATTTAGCTACTAGAAGCTCTTTGTACCTTGTAATTGATCCATTCCTATTTCTTTTAATTTTATACAACCATCTTAACCCGATAGGTTTAGCATCTTTAGGTGGAGGAACTAATTTCCAAGTATTGTTCTTCTCGATGGAGTCAATTTCGGCCTTCATTGCATCAAGCCAATTCTTGTTCAATTTGGCTTCCTTAAAACTCTTTGGTTCTTCATAGAATGACAACATTAAATGATCCACATCTAGCTCGTAGTCATTTAATCTTCTTGGCAACACTGAAGTTTGAGTGGACCGTCGAAGTGGGACAAAACTTACATCGTTATTTTGATCATCAAAAGGTTGTGATGGGCTGCTAACTTCGTGAGAAGTGTCATTGGTTTGGTCAGTTTGGGTCGGATCAGTGAACTGTTCGATTTCTGTTGCAGTTGGGATTGAACCATTATTATCTTGGGTTGCTTGACCATTACTCTGCAATACCGTAAATGTACCCGGTCCATTTCCATCTTGATTTTCAGGTTCAATATATCGTTGCTATGTCTTATTTTCATCACAAATCGCATGGGCAGTTATAATGATTTTATTTTACCGTGGATTATAAAATTGAAATCCTTCCGAATTGGGTTCCTTTCCAAAATATACCAACGATCGAGACCTATCATCAAGATTCTTCGAATGTTTTGAGACTACTCTTTCATATGCAACACAACCAAATACTTTCAAGTCTTCAAGGTTTGGTTTTTCACCATAAATTTTTTTGAACGGTGTAGCACCTATCAATGCTCGAGTAGGTGTATGATTTATGATGAACGTTGCATGACGTATCTCTTACCCCAAAAATGGTTTGGAATATCTTTCGCTTTCATTAGGCATCATGTCATCTTGAGTAGAGTCCAATTTCTCCGTTCGACTATACTGTTTTTTTGAGGTGCATAAGGATCCGTCAACATACGAGAAGTTCCTTAATCGTCACAAAAACGGTTCAACTCATGCGATGTTAATTCTCCACCTCTATCAGTGTGGAAAGTCTTGATCTCTTTACCGGTTCGTTTTTCAATTGATGTCTTGAATCTTTTAATAATTCCGGATGCATCGCTTTTGTGCTTCAAAAGAAAAGTCCACATATATCTAGAAAAGTCATCAATAAGAACTAAAATATAAATACTACCCGCTTCGGTGGGGGGATCAACTGGTCCACAAATATCTCCAAGCACCATCTCGAGAATATTTGTAGCTCTATAATTAGCTTTATTTGCAAACGAATGCTTTGTTTGTTTTCCAACCATGCAAGATTCATAAAGTTGGTCTTAATGTTGGATTATCGGTACCCCTTTAGCTAGCTTGTGCATCAAGTTTACTGCGCCAAAATTAATGTGTCTAAGTCGCACGTGCCATAACCAAGCTTCCTCATTAAACTTGGCTTGCAAGCAATGTGGTTTTCCAACTTTTAACTTTATTTTGTAGAGTCGGTTTGCACTTCTCGGGACTTTCATAAGCAATCTTCCGTCTCCATCTCGCATGGTTAAGAAATCACCTCACATCCGAATATCACAACCAACTATTGTAGATTGCCTAAGACTAACAACATTGCTACGAAGTGATGGGATATAATAAATATCCTTCATTAACTTTTGCTCACAACTTTTCCCTTCGAACGAAATTGACCCTTTTCCTTTAATGCTAACACACAATCCATCTTTAAATTTCACCCTACTCATTATGTTTTTATTTAACTTAGAAAAAGAAGAGTAGTTGTCGGTCATGTGGTTGCTCACACCATTATCTAAGTACCAAATTCCGTCTTCATCGACATTTGCTTCAACTTTTGGAGGGATGTATTTGTCTTCGTTCAAGAACACCGTTTCTTGAATTGTATTCATCATAAAGAACGTCCCTTCTTCATGATTTGTATCTCCTTCGTGTGTCTGATTAAGGTTAGCCTCATGATTTTTGATTCAGTCCATGCATCTTGAAGCAAAGTGACCTTACTTGTCACTCCGGTAACATTGAATATTTTAGAGATCCCTTTGTTCACGTTGTTTTCCATTTTGTTTTTGATCATCACGAGTTTTAGTGGATTCTGAGTGACTGTGATTTTGGGTGTTACCCCGACCACGTCCACTGTTACGTCCACCACCACGTCCTCTTCCTCGGTTATTTGAACCCCGACCTCTACCTCTTGATGATTCGATGTTTCTGTTAGACGATTCAATTTTGGAATAAAGTAATTTATTTTGTGTCTCTATTACTTTGTCTTCACCCTTGATACTTTCTTCATAAGCTTTTAAGCGACCAACCACGTCTTCAAAGCCTATCTTCTTAAGGTCCAAAACTTTTTGAAGGGCTGCAACTATGTGGATAAATCGCCTAGGGAGGCTCATAAGAAACTTCTTTGCAAGCTTTTGTTCGGTCGTGACGTCTCCTAGTGAAGCGGATTTCAAAGCAATTTCGGATAATCTTGCTGCGAAGTCGTCTATGGTGCCTGTGTCACTCATCTTCAGATTTTCAAAATCTGTGATTAGGGTTTGC